AGCACCCAGTTCCACGTGGTGTAGTGAATAAGTGATCCACACGGTGTGCTAAGGCTGCTCTGGAAATGGCAATCTCTCTTGGCATGTTTTGGGTCTGACAAGTCAGGAACTTTATTGGCTTTCTTCAAATAGCTGAGTCATATGAATACTGGGTCTTTGTTTCCACAGCTTACCACAGCTTCTGTGTTGGAGTTATCACTTGGTAACAGGATAAATAACTCGGTCACAGGTGTTACACTCCCTAATGAAGCTTGTTTGTCACACATACTTTCTCACACTCATGGGTGACCTAGGGCTATGTCTATCTTAAAACCGATGAGACGTGCTTTCTGATTTGGGGATGTTCCCTCTCTGTGGCCTGGGCTCACCTGCATTCAAAGCCTTCTCATTCTTTTTCTTATTCTCTTCACACGCCCCGGAAACTCCTTGCCTGACCATTTCTCCCCCACCCAAGCCCTCACTGTAGGAATTTAGATTCATGAAACACTTCTCCCAGAGCCATGAACATGCTGAGTTTCACTGGTAATGTAAAAGTAGATGTTTCTGCTCTGATCAAGATATTTTAAGTAGAGGATGTTTTAGCCAAGACACCCCCAAATTCACAGCATAGATGCAACTGCTTAGCCTATTCCAGCTTCCAGCAAGAGCTTCTTAAATTTCCAGAACAAACCATGCCAAATAAATACTAAAGCTAATTAGTATTGATGATCTTTGTTCTAAATTAACAGCATTTCAATATATTTAACTGAAAGTCATTAATAAAATAAGGTTATTGTATGGAATTTATATACTTCTTTTTTTGTGGTACTGGGGATTGAACCCAGCGGTGCTTTACCACTGAGATACACCCCCAACCTTTTTTATTTTTTATTTTGAGAAAGGGTTTTGCTAAATTGCCCAGGCTGGCCTTGAACTTGGGATCCTCCTACTTCAAGTGTCCTGAGTCACTGGGATCACAGGCATGTGCTACCACACCTGGTTTATGCACTTCCTTTTTGACTGATAAATGTATCCTATTTGGATTTCAAAACATGACACTTTGATAATATATTATCAAAATATACTTTTATAATGCATTTCTGATTTTAAAAGTAATGCATATCCATTAGGGAATGTGTGGGGACACTTCCCCCCCTTAGTACTGGGGATTGAATCAAGGGGCACTCTACCTCTGAGCTATGTCCCCAGTTCTTTTTATTTATTTTTTAAATTTTAACACAAGGTCTCAGTAATTTGTCCAGTCTGCCCTCAAACTTGCATCCTCCTGCCTCAGCTTCCCAAGCTGTGGGATTCAGGTGTATGCCTCTGTGGCCAGCGCAATGTATATAAAATCACCACCCAGAGATAAACACTGCTTACATTTTGATGTATTTCTCTCACGTCATATTTACGCTTCTGTTTTATTTACATAGCTGAGGTCATACTGCAAATATAATTTTATACCCTTTCTCCTCTTAACATTATCTCATTCACTTTTTCCTAGGAAACGGGAAATAAAGACAAGGGACTGTGTCGCTGAGGTCATGCTGCAAAAGTAATTTTATACCCTTTCTTCTCTTATCATTATCTCAGCAGTTTTTTTTCCTAGGAAATTAATTGGAAAGTAAAGAGGAGAGACTTCCTGTGTCACTCGTCTCAGTTTCCCTAAAAGTGATCTGACCTTCAATGTGGCAGGTAGTCCACATTACTTGGGGAAACTTAATCTTATTTATTTATAATGGTACATAAAATTTCATGCAACAGCCCTTTTGGCTGACTCTGCTCCTTCTCCTAGTGACCTACTAGCTAGCTGGGTCGCTCCTCTGATCTCCTAGTAAGTCTCCCACCCTTGGAATTTTCCCTCTTCCAGATAGTTTTGAAAATGCCACTTTGTACAAGGCACTTCCCTTCTCCATCACGTCCAGTGGTCTGTCTTTAGATTAGATCTCAACACAGCTGGAATCAGAGGCTCCTCTGTAAGATCTGACTCTTTTTCTCTCTTTCCCTCCCCTAAATCACACTTAGCTCCAGATAGACCTCAAAAAGGTATTCAATCATTTATGCTTCCCATTTGAGTCATTTCCGTGCCTTTTCCTTCCTTTTTTCTTCATATATCTCCATGCTTTCCTGAAGTCCCTAAAAACATTTTTAATCCTTTCCTCCCTCTCTCCTAAGGTAACAGTCAATTTGGCTGTTAATTCTATATTGTCTTTTACAACTTCCTCTAGTTGTTTAATGTGTGAAATTCTTGCCTTCTTATTCTAAGCTTGTGAAACCGCTCTAATTTAGGCAGGAAGACAACTCTCAAACATGATCACAAAGAGCCACTTGGTTATCTGGCTAACAAATGGTGCACTTACCATAGAAAGGACAGTACACCGAGTGCTGAAGGACACCTTACGGGTTCCTTAAAAAATCCTGTGTCATTGAGGAATGACCTGGCTGCAAATGACAGAGGACCCAGAGTGCCTGACAATGCTTAACCAATAGAGACTTATTATTTATTATCTCACATAACAGGAAGAACAGAAACTGGTGGGTAATTTCCGGCATTGGCTTAGGAGCTCTCTGATGGCAGGGCTCTGGTTGCACGTCTCTGAAAATTTCTTGGCCTTCCTCCATGATTGTAACATGGCTGAAGTATCTTCTGGGGTCACATTTTCACGCAACCATGCTCGAAATCACGTAGGAGGGGATGGTGTAGGATGTGGAAGTTCTTGCATGCTCCTTTCTTATCAGGAGGAAAAACTTCCCCTGATTTCCCCAGCAAAAGTCTCCCATAACTCATTGCCCAGAACTGGGTTTATCAGTCTGTCCTGTAGGATCAAGTCTTCTCTGAATAATACCAGAACAGAACCAGATAGATGGATTGAGAATGAGACTGCTTTTGTGTAGACCATCAACAGTACCTTCTCTATAGAAGGGATCAGGAAATTAAAGTTTAGAGAGGCTGATAAATACGTGCAAGATGATCTGACTAGTAAGTGGCAAAACAAGATTTAAACCAGACATTTCAGAATCCCAGTCCTTACTCACCACATGGAACAGCCTCTCCAGAGGGTCTTAGCATCTTACTCAATTCACTAAAACACATTTAGCAAGAACCCAGTGGATGCTTACTTCACATTGTTCTTGCTACTGAAGGGGAGCCAAGGGTATTACCTAGTTAGGGATAGAAGCCTAACGCAGTGAAGCAGCTGGGGTACATTGGATTATTACATTGAAACGCAATGACTGGCGCCGCACCTCCACGTGGAACGAGCTCACTGAGGCTGTGAGAGTCAGCGGAGACTTCCCGGAAGCCCTGGGGTACAGAGAACCGCACAGATTTGGATGAGTGGGGAGAAGGATGGCACTTCCTTTGAGAATAGCTTGAGGGAGAGGAATAAGTGGGGAAGCGGCACCACTGAAGAGTGACTGGAGCAAAGGGTTGCTAAGTTCTGGCTACGTCTGAGGAAACCGCGCAGCTCCCAGCACCTGGTTAAAGAGCAGTTGAACACTTGTCACACAGACATTAGGACAGGTTGAAAAAGGAAGCAGACCACCAAGCAGTAGCATCTGCCCAGCTCTCTGCAGGAGAGAACTGAGTACGGAGGGATGATAAATCTTCCAAAAGGGTCAGTAGCTTCCTAAAAGTTTCCTTTGGCCTAACGGAGCAATGTAAGAACTGGAAAGATCTTCCAGAAATTACAAAAACAAATGAGATACATGGGCTGTCACACACCTGGATCCTGGCTACTCCGGCACTGAGGTGAGAGGATTGTGAGTTCAAGGCCAGCCCTGAATACCTAGGGGTCTCAAAATGAAAAAGTAGCTGGGAATACAGTTCAGTGGTAGAGTACCCCTGGGTTTCATCCCTAGTACTGAAAGCAAAAAACAAAACACCCACAGATAATTTGGTTCTTGGCTGCCAGGGAGATTCTGAAGAACATGCCTATCCCATCCTGCTGTTCTTCCAATAATAGAAAGGGTTTGAATTAAGTCATCCCACTCCTGTGTGATCAGAGACTTACTTAAGTGTAATATCCAGTGCTGTGGACCAAAGCCAAGCTGAGATGCTCACGCAGGTCTCAATCCCAGTTTTGGCCTCAGGGACACCCCAGTGTCATACGGCTCTCTCGTGCCAGCTGAGGAGCTCAGTGATAATACTGCCCTTCTACCCTGTCCACCAAAGCAAAGCCTAGGGAAGAGAGGCTTTCTTACGAGGTGTTACTGACTCTAGCAAGATGAACATTTTCAGATTCACAATTATATTTACTTATATGTCGTTTTCTAAATCTATTTTTTATTCCAAAATTCCTTTTGTTGGATCTAAATATCTGGTGGTTTTCTTAATCAAGTTGTTAAGATCATAATTTCCAACCAGCATGTCTGATCTATCCAGAATTATAAATCAACATGAATGGTGAATTGTCTCTGTTTGCAACAGGATAAGATCTATGATCTAATTAAGGGAAAGTTCTTTGGGTGTGGCTTGTGACAGGAGATTAGGATAAACCCCAGAAATATTTAGAATATTATAGCTTGAGAAATGTAAGAGTAACATTTCTAAGAAGAAAAAATTGTGGCTTTCTCTTCCTTTTCTTATCCAAATTGTCATTTGGTTCTGCCTAGACTCAAAAGAAAAAAATGTGTTGTGTCTATTTCAAAGAGCTCATGGATCATGATTTTCCAAAGGTGGAAGGAGAGCTGTGGGATTTGATACTCAAGGAAAAAGTAGAGAACAGAAAGACTTGAAGCTGGAGGTTGGGGGTTTAAGCCAATTTTGACAGGTTTCTGTAGATATTGCTAAATTCTGACATTTCTGAATGATGTCATACCCCCAGATAGTTTCTTCAACTATCTTTTATAAAAAGCATATCTATTATAATAAGGTCTGAGTAAAATGTTGAATCACACAAAGGATACAAATTAAAGAGAGAGAGAAAAAAAAAAGTTGTGTGGGAGGGGCAGAGCCTTATAAAACCAGTCATTACCATGTCTAAACTGTGACAACTCTCCAAGGAGCATTTCCAGTCAGACAGCAGCTTCGAGAACAAGGTATTTCAGCTCTTTCCATGACCATCTCTATGGGATACATGATTTAATTTTTTCTCTTCTTATAACAGGCATTATTTATGTATTGAGAATTCAGGTGTAGGATGTTTCTACAGGGTTAGTTAAAAAATGTAGTGCTATTTTATTGATTAGTTATTTGTTTAACTAAAAATATGTTAGTTTAAGATTTGAATTAAATTATAATAGCACTTGATTTTGAATCTCAGAAGCCAGCAAATGCCTTTGTAGCATTAACCAAACCAAAATGAGCCTTTATTCAAGTTTGATGTCATGTTATTGCACAGGTTAGAATATGTATATTCTGCACTGGCTATTATGTTGTTGCTGAATATGATGGACATAGCTGCATATATTAAAATATTTTCTCTTAAGCAATGAAAATATTTTTAAATAAATAAAAGGAAAAGAGAGTTCTGTTTTCTTCTAAAATTAACTGTCAGAAGCCACAGAAATAAGGCAGGGATTTGAGCTGGTTCCATCCAACATCAGGGTATGTTTACTGAATTTAGTTCAATAATGGACCAATTTTGTGAAAGAAGAAATCAGCTGAGCGTGTTGATGGGCTGACTAACTAGGTAATTTTATACCCACAAACAGATAGTTATTCATCATGAAAATTATCAACCTACAGAAACTGCTTTTAGTTTGTGGGCAGAATAAGTGGTAATTTTTGATGGGCTGTTTCCTCCTATTATTTTTTCTTAGTTTTCTTTTTTGGGTGGTCAGTGTCAAAATATTCGCATTAGAAAGTCACACAAAAAATTGTTTAAAGTGCTGCAGCAAATTGCAGTCTGACATCCAGGGTCCGTGAGCAGAGGGACTGTGGCAGTGTGCCTGTGGCACCTCCCAGATTCTTTATCATCTCAGCCGAGTTTCAGTGGCACAGTTGACAACCTGCATTTCAGGAACCAACACAAACATCAGGAAGTCCAGCCCTGCATATGAATTCCATTCACTTGTCTCAGTGGTAATATTAAATAAACATTGATGGGAGCATGTATTTGGAGGTTAATGTGGTGAGACTTATTACACTGTCAAGCGATTCACGAGAGGCTACCTGTTCTGGGAAGCTCTGGAACTGACACCACTCCTTGATTTCCATTTTGCATTAATTGTCTTGGTAATTCCCATCATATTAAGCATAAGGTGTGGGCTTGTCTGAGAGTCAGAAACCGATATGCAAACACCATCCTAGATTTCTAAATTGTGAGCCTCTCAAATCTTATTTAAGAAATTTGTAAAGAAATCACTAGATTTGTAATCAGAAAGCTGGGCCAGCATTGCGCCAGATCAGCCTTGCGTCGGACCAAATAACCAATGTGCAATCTTCATTGTTATGTTTTCATTAATTTAACAGGAATTCCTAAGCTTTATTGGGCAAGTAATTGTGTAAATTAAACAACAACAACATCAACAAGTTGCTGAAGAAATTAGGTAACTACAACATAGACATAAAATATTATTATTTATTTTTATTTTATTTAATTTTGCAGTCCTGGGGTTTGAACAGAGGTGCTTTGCCACTGAGTTACATCCCTAACCTTTTTATTTATTTATTTTTTATTTTGAGACAGGGTCTCATTAAATTTTTCAGTCTGGGTTTCAACTTGTAATCCTCTTCTCTTAGCCTCCCAAATAGCTGGAATTGTAGGTATATGCCATTGCACCTGGCATCAAATATTATTTCTATGTTAAATATGATAAATTGAACCTAGTTTAGAAATAGAATTCAGAAGAATTTTTAGAGAAGAAAATGAATCTGGGACAATTTGATTCTATTCTTGTTAACATTTTGATATTTATCAATTTATCTTAAATCCTAACTTAGAATTAACAGCCCTTCTTGATAGTTTGTATCAACACTTAAATTTTACTAATGTCAAAATGACTAAGCACATTATTACAAAGAACTACTATTCTGGTTCTAATCTCTTATTTGAATTTTCACATGGAAACAGAGAAATACTTTATTATGTTTTTAAGACCCAGCTTGTTTCCAAAATACGTTGGGGATAATATATTTAGAAAAATCTCTACATGAGTCTAGTTATAAAATGTTTTAATCAGTAGAAGGAAGAATAAACAATCTACTGAGCCATTCAAGTCAAACGAGGTGATGAAGCAAGAGAAAAGAATTAGTGGTTTTTTTTAAACGTGATAAACTTTCTAGGAGCTTTCTAGATTTTCTACTTTCCTCTTTTTATTTCCTCTTTCCAGCATTTCTCAAGCTATAACTTGCCCAACTCTGACGCATTATAGTGGAGCTACACATCAGCAAGTGAGGGTCACCAGGAAGGGTGGCCTTCTGAGTGCAACCTGGACTTGGAGCCCTGCTCCGCTACAGACTAACTGTGTGACCTTACCTGAGTTATTTAACCTCTATGAGCATCAGCATGCAATCCAGGCACTAGGGGTGTGATTACCTCATACGGATACTATAAAGGTTGAATGAGGAGACGAAAGGAGAGGACAAGTTTTTATTTAATTTACTATTTTGTCTTGACAAACTAGAACTGAATCATATTTCAAATGAGAAACTTTGATGCAAATTTCAATCACTTTCTTAAAAAAGAGGGACTTATCCATCAAAGTTTCACACAAGACACACATGGATTAGAGAGACAAGGGATGACTGACTGGTCCTGGTGGGAGCCCTGGCAGGTAGGGGGACAGCTGCAGGAATGGCTCATCCCAGGGGGCTGCCCAGCCCCTCTCAGTTCTGGGAAGTCATTGTCACAAGAAAGTTTCCCCAGAGAGGATGAATGTCAGAGTCTTTGATGTGTTTATGGATTTTGGTAATTATAGGGTGTGGTATAAACTATGATGAAAGAAAGACAACTAGAAAGATGATTGTCCCTTTGAACACACACACACACACACACACACACACACGCACACACACCTTGGGAGTTTCCAAGCATTCACTTGCACACAGAACCTTAGGTCATGGAGGTGTGTCTGTGATTTATTTTCAGGTGGCAATAAATGGAGTGTATGTGTGTGTTTCGTGCACCTGGGATTATCCCTGCATTCCTGCCCAGGTGGCTTTCCTGGCAGTGGGGGACCAACAAAATGGAGCCCTTATTGTATTTCCAATTATGAATTTCCCAGAACAAAAAGTGCTTTTAAGGCAAAGCTGTGGTTATGTGCAGTGTCGCACGCATGTGCGGGGAGTGGGGGAGGCATTTGTAGGACCTGGGTGACAGTACTGACTCTCAAACATAAGCCATTTCTAGGAATGGAAACTTGAAAGAGCATTGTACATCTCAACTGGAGCCAACAGGAATATGTGTGCACGTGACATATCTTTGAATATGTATGACTTTTCCTGCATGTGTGTGCTACGTGGTTATGCATACGGTGCACGTGAGTGAAGTGTATCATGACCCTGGAGGCCACCTATCTGGCTGCAATTCCTACTCCTGCCCTTTATAGTTGAATGGCAAAGGTCACTTAATCTCCGTATTTCCTTTGTTAAAAGAAATAGCCTGCCTTATTGCCTTCCTTATAGGATCCCAGTGAGGATGATAAGATTAGTGCAGGTAAAGTGTTCAGAACACACCTGTTAGACAATAAGAACTAAATGAATGCTTTTGTTACTGCAGTTATTATCAATATTCTTATATAGTAACATAAAGCATCACTGCTCATAATAAAATTGTTCATTGTATCTCAGAATTGCAACATAATTCACAGGATCTGGTGAAAAGTGAGACTGCAGGCCAGGTTAAAGCATTTCCAAGATGGACACAGGACAGCTTTGCACCATCATGGGCCCTTTGTGGCAGCACAGATCACATGACCTTGAAGTTTTCCCTGTCCTCCCTCATGTTAGTCCATGGAGGAAGAACAGAGTGGGAAACCCTACCCTATGCAGGGAACATCTGCCGACCTCACCCAAAATGCCACACCATCTTTTGGATTGTTTTTCCCATCTTTATTTTCCTTCTAGATTGAAGCAATGGAAGACCTTTATGTGGCAAACACCATCTTTGCCCTCAATTTCTTCAAGCATCTGGCAAAAGTGAGTCCCACCCAGAATGTCTTCTTCTCTCCATGGAGCATCTCCTCCACCATGGCCATGGTCTACCTGGGTTCCAGGGGCAACACTGAAGACCAGATAGCCAAGGTAAGTTGGCACTGAAGCTTCACATTAGGCCTGAGTGATTCCTGAACTGAATTGTAGAGTTCTTCTTGTTTTAAGCTCAGGTCATCAATCCTAGAAGACAGAGATCGTGCGTGCTAACAAATAACCAGCTTTTACAACACAGATTCCTTAGACTTAAATGTACAAAGCAACCAGGAAACCCCTCAAGCGTAGATAGCAGAAGGCATATCAGAGTTTATTAGCTTTCAAGGCTGAAAATGTTAAGTGACATCTTTCATTTTAATTTCCACATTCATACTATTCAAAGTGAGTGTTTTGCACACATTCTCTCACTTGGTTTTAAGATAAATATCACCTTATAGATGACAACATTGGCAGTGTGAATGAAGAACCTCTCCCAAGGTCACCCACAGTATTCTAACCCCCAGTTCGGGCTCCTTCCCGTTGCTCTCCCACTGTGGAGCAGCTGTTCCCCTTTCCTATGAAGAATTCCTAATGGCTTTAGGAGAATCACAGAGAGAAAAGAAATGCACCAGGAGAGTGGTCACCAAACTCACAGAGACACATAGGTAGACGTGGCTTCAGAGGACCTCATCATATCATCCAGCCTGGGAGCTCATGTCCACACCATGGGGCTTGGCATCATGAATGGCCAGTCTTCAAATTCAAGGTGGACAAGTGTGCAACAGCATTACTAGAGACTCTCTGTCAAGGCCTCTGCTTTCCTTCCCTGGTGAAAGGACACAGATCCAGGCAGGGGACCCTTTCTGTGGTGGCTGAGGTCTTAATTTGCTGAACTGCTTCAATTGCACATGATCATAGACTTAAGGGTTTCATTCAGCACTTTAAAATTCTCATGATCCTGTTTTTCCTAGACCAGTGAGCGATCTGGACGTGGTCGTCATGTAATTAAAATTCCTTTCTGTTCGCATCCATGCTGACATTAAAACCAAATTGCTTTAAGTACACGCAGGCATTGTGCTTTCAGTCACACCAAAATGCCACCGGCTGGTTTCTGGATTCCCATGAGAAATGTACCTGAGAATTAATACATCCCTTTCAGGAACACGGTGACCCATTTAGGGTAGAGCACATTGGCCAATCCCACTGCAGGAGGAGAGGAAAGGACTTATCACTGTGCTTGTGGCAGTTTAAACATCAAGACTATGACAAAACCCTTGCTCAACTTGATACCAGCAGGATTTGGCAACATCCCTTCCCCTTTATCTTCTTTCTCCTGGAAAATAAAGAGAGTAAACTGCATTGAAAACCTTTAAAGACATCAGGGGTTTACGTTTTTGAATGTAAAGGAATCAGAAGCAACACATTTGAGGGCAAATGCTAAGTAGATGTTCCAGGTTGTTAAAGTAAAAAACTTGGTTTTGATACTAAAGGAAAAATGAATGCATTGGTCACTCTGGCCTCAAGACACCTTTTCTGTATATCAAGGTGCTTTCAGAACTTGGGACTCTGCAGATTTTATATAATCTTTTTATAACTTGGTTGCATGTGCAGATTTTCAAATTCTAATGCTTATTTACTTTCTAAATTATAAAAAAAATAAACCATGCAGTTCCTTGCTTGGATGAGGAAGCCATGGACTTCAGGGACAGGCCCATAAGTGTTTGAGTCCTGGCTTTGTCACTTACTGCATATGTGCAGGCATGGAAACCCTTGGAGCTGCAGTTTTTTTTCTTATATAAAATGGGAATGAAAATGTGTAACTTGTAAGACTGCTGAAAAGATTAGAGAGAACATGTGGACACCTAGCAGCAGTAGTTGTAACAATAGTTCCCACTGGTTACTGCCATAGCCCGAGAGCTCTCTAGGAACGTCTTCAAAATTCTATGAGGTAGTTGCTGTGATTATCACACTCATTTTGCAGATGAGGAAATTAGGGTAAGGAGAAACCTTCCAGTTGGGGACAGTAGCAGCTGGAAGAGGTGGCAGAGCTGTAATGAAGGAAACTCCTAGAGAGCAGAGGTCCATGTGAAATCAGGGTGCCAGTGAGGAATGTCTTTGCAGCTCTTAGGGTGAGGCCATGGACCAAGGATCTGTGCAGGCCAAGCTGCATCGGTGGGTCTCAGGGTGGCCCAGGGTCACCCCACATCCCCACTTCTGCAGGGACATTGTATGAGTGACTTTGCAGTGAATAAGGGTCAATTGTCCCGGAAGGGAGGGAACCAGAGAAGCCATTGTAGGAAACATCCTTCCCTTGTGTAGGGACAGAGTGGGACCTCTTCTTTTCAGAGAGTGTGGCAGGACCTATGACATATGCTGGTGGGGGCATTTTTAAGGTCCCTCAAGTGTTAACTTTGCCCTCCAGTCCAGGAATTCACCAGCTGGCCAGGCATGGCTGCCCTTCCTTATCAGCCAAGCCCCAGTCATGAGTCCATTTACAGGATCAGCTTCTTACCATGGGTCCCACAAGGAATTGCAGCAGGTCTTGGGGTGGGGACCCTACAGGTGCTGAGACTGACAGGCTGGACAAGTGTCAGTGCTGTGGGGAGGGGAGGTTGCTTCTTAGAGGCTGGTCTTTACCCGCCAGCTTCACTGTGTGATCTCAACTGCCCACTTGCACTATAGATCCATCTTGTGGTCAGATCCTTGTAATCTGTCCCCCCGCCTGGACTATAATCTCTCTGTGTACATATGATTTATGTTAATATTTTGGATGATCCCTGTTTACTACCGAGGATCTGCTTTTATGCTTAAGCTTCTTTTGACTCTTAGTTTTTTAAAGATAAGAGAGAGAATGATATGAGAGAGAGAAAAAGTTCTGAGTTAGTTGTATTATTTTCTTTAAAATACTGGCACTTTTTCAAGACAATTTATGGGCTGGGTGATAATTTATGTAAGTTAGGGAATGGGTTATAAATTGTCTCATAATAACAAACATCTTCTAAAATGACCAGTGTGTGAATTAATACAACCGCCTCAGGTGGTTTCCTGTAAGGGAAATTAAATTGCGGACCCTTCCGTGTCACATAGAAGGGGTATTTGGTGGCTCCCCCTACACAAGGCAGGGAGCCAGAGATACTTGAGTCCAGCAGGAGACCGTCTCCATTCTCCCTGTTTCTGATTGCAGGTGCTTCAGTTTGACAAAGTTGGAAACTACAGTATGGCGTCAGGGGCCCCGCAGAATCTCACTGGTTGTGACTTCATGCAGCAGATACAGAAGGGAAATTATCCTGATGCCATTTTGCAGGTAACTGACTCATTTCTTCATATTTCTTTTGAATTCTATTTCTAGGACCTTTTTTTTCAAAATCACAGTGTTAGGCTGGGAAGGAACCTAGGACAGTTTCCTCCAGCCACAGAGAGAAAAGGAAGACTCAGAGTCATGAAGTAAATTTCCCAAGATCAACTAACAACCAAGGGCAGAGCCAGGGCAGAATCCACACTCACGACTTTAGACCAAGGCAGTTTCTCAATTCTACCATAACCCTCTACCATTATATATTTATTTTTAAACTATTCTTTACTATAGACACCTACAATACATATGCGTGGGTGGAAATTTCCAGAGGAGAGAGGGTGTGGGGGTGTGACAAATAATTGAGCAATGGTGAAGGCCATTCCCAGTTAGTGTGTGAGAGGCTACTGACTCTCAGAGATCTGTATGTCTGTCTGTCTATCTATCTGTCTGTCATCTGTTCTCAATACTCCATTTCCTTAAAGATCATCAGCTGTCAGGCTACACTCTAGGAACTGGGTAGCGATGTGCTCCTCTTGGTAACCAGCTTCCATGCTTATGCTCATGAGACAGATTACGGGGAGGTGTCTCATAGCTTTCTTCCTGAACATGGTGATGCTCCACCCATCCATCCATCACACAGGACATGGTGGGCTAGAGGAGGTGGAGAAGGTGCCTATAACCTGGAGCTTACACTGAGTGTCCTGTAATACCTGGAAGTCCATCTGGGGGGCTCCTTCTCTGCTCCATCTCGGCTGCTGCTGTGATTGAGCCCCGTGTCTGTCACAGTGCTTACAAGCTTTCTGATTGTAGGTGCTTACAAGTTTTGGGTTGTGTACTGGAATTCCCGTTCACTTTTGTGGTCTTCTAAAACCCAGATTTTCCACTGTGTAGGTCACCCTGTAAAATGGGTACTTATAGAAGCCAAGTGAACCGTGTTAGATCATTTCTAAGGTAACATGTCCCCCCTAGCTTTATCGACAGCTTCACAATTAACAAACGTGACAAATAAAAATTGTAGACATTCTAGTTATGCTATGGTGTGATTTGATCTCCCTGTACATTGTGAGATGATTATCACAGTCAAATTTACACACCACCACAACTAGTTACCCTGTGTGTATGGGGGGAGTGAGAACATTTAAAATATACTCTCTTCACAAACTGCAGGAAGCAATATGGTATTTTTAACTATAATCAGCATGCCATACTTTAAATCCTCAGAACTTATTCATCTTTTAAATATAATGAAAATTTCTTACAGAACCTGAAGTTTAGAAACTCAAAAGAAATCTACTTTTCTTGGAGGTTATTGGTGACTCTTGGTTGAATCCAATCTATAAAAAGGGTAAACTTGAAACAAATTAAGTTTTATCTCATTGGCTTTAATGAACCACATCTTATCAAAACCACTTCCTCAGAGATTCCTCTAAAGGACCAAAAAGATATATGCATGATTACAGTGTTTTATTACTATGTTGAGAAAAGCTACCATTGCTTAAGAAATATCTTGCTTGCCAGTCCTCTTTTATAAAAAGAAAATCCCACTCTTCTGTTTAAGGCGCAAGTGAGGGACAAAGTCCACTCATCCTTCCACTCCATCAGCTCAGACATCAACGCAACCACAGGGGATTACTTATTGGAAAGTGTCAGTAAGCTGTTTGGCGAGAAGTCTGCAAGATTCAAGGAAGTAAGTGAAGCCTTTGACTGAGATGACTGGGGTCCCCAACCAGCAGCAGGGCCTCTGTCCAGGGGCCTGTCTACAGTTCATGAAGAGTCAGGATTCCATGCATCCTCCTTGAGGCTGGCCTAATATCTCCCAGTGGCCTAATATCTCCCAGTCCCTCCTGTTTCCTCTGTCAGAGTTTTCCTCTTCCTATCACAAATGTCCCTGTTGCAGAGTACTAATCAGGAGGATGAAGCCAACTTTTTCCAGAGTCACTGTTCCCCACATGAAACCTCTCTGCTTTTGTTTATTGTCTATTATGTGAATAATGCAAGAGAGTAGACAGAGTTTGTGCTGGAACGTGAGGAGGGGGTTACGGAGAACTTGTAATCTGTTCTATGTCCTCCTTCAGCACCACTCCTGCGAAGTTCCATCCCAACTCCTCCCCCAGGCCTCCCAGGCTTGACAGGAAACCCATAATTTAAAATCACACCCTGGCTTGTTCATGATATATTCCATGTAATCCTTGGCATTTTCTTGCATTAAAGGAATACATGCAACTCTGTAAGAAATATTACTCAACAGAACCCCAGGCAGTAGACTTCCTGGAATGTGCAGAAGAAGCCAGAAAAAAGATTAATTCCTGGGTCAAGACTCAGACAAAAGGTAACACACCGAAATATTTTCTTTTTTCCAGGTTGGTCTTTTAAAATCATCCTTGAACTTATGCTTCACTCCCTTAAAAATTGTCCAACTTAAATGATTTTTGTTAAATAAGTTTATTCATGTTTAGCTCAATGATGTTTTAAGAGGAAAAGATGAGACTCAATAATAGAAGACATGTCCAGTACTTAAATGTTCTGCTTTTAGATATTATCAGAGTATAATATCTAAAAATTTCAAACAGGAAATATTAGAATTGAAATAATTGTGGTCTGTGCTCTCTGTGCACATAAACAAAGATAAAAAAGACTTGCCCCTAAGCTTAGTATGAGCCTATGAAGAACACTGACCACGGAGCAGGGAAGAGTCATGAAATTCTTTTCACTCTTTCTTCTTTCCCTATGCAAAGCCAGTACATTGTCAAGTTCATTGGTTTTCTAAGTCACCTGTAGCATTTTAACTCCAGTCCATGATTCTTCTCATAGGCATCCCCTTTCCTTTGCATTTTTTACAAGGACTCAAACTTGATTAAATCGTTCATTCTTTATTATTGAATGAATTTGTTAAGTCAATAAATATTTATGTGTCACATATTATATGCCAGGCAGACAGTGTACAGAGATGAGGATAAAAATGGTCAACCTAGCCATCATCCACCTATAGTCTAACACAGCAGTCGTGAGGTTAAATGGCACAATGCCTTTGAGTGGTGGGGAGACTTCAGAACAGGTGCTCGTTACAGAGACTGCTCCTCACACTGTGTTTTTAAAGATCAAGCCAGAGGCCATCGTTTCTAAGAACCCTCTCTGGCTCACTCCTTTGCAGCCTTCTCAACATTATCAGAAGACTTTTCATTTTTAGCCCAATTAGAGCATGTGGTACAGACTGTTTCACAACGGATTTTGAATGCTTCTTCCAGCCTTCGAGCCTCTTCGAGATGCTTCTTTCTTCTCATCCCTTACATCGGTACTCCTCCTACTTTATGTCCACCACAACTTAAAAACATGTTTTGGAAAACCCGTTCAACTTTCAGATCCAAAGACTGTCTTGAGCAGGTCTAAAGGGACTCAATGGCGAGCTGTAGGTGACCACTGTTACATTCACTGAGCCCCTTTCACTTCCTTCTGGGTTCAATAACTGTCAGAAAACCATGAAACATTGAGCAAACAGTATAAAGAGAAGTGAAAATCTCCTTTCCAAATTTGACAGTAATTTTGTACTTGAAATGCATTATTCTTTCATTCTCTTGGATTTCACAAATATTCTAAGCTTCAAGTAAATTTAGAGGAAAAAAAAATTGAGCATGAAGATCAACATCTCCGCAGAATTTGACAAATGGGGACACTCAGTGTGACAGATACTTACTTGAAAGTTCCAAGAAATCCTCTTCTATGTTGAAGGCTCTCGATTACAAACCCTAACCCCATGTTATGTTTCCTGTAGGCAGAATCCCAAACCTGTTACCTGAAGGCTCTGTAGATGCGGAGACCAGGATGGTCCTGGTGAATGCAGTCTACTTCAAAGGAAAGTGGAAAATTCCATTTGAGAAGAAACTCAACGGGCTTTATCCTTTCCGCGTGAACATGGTATGAGACAACAGGATGCACTTTTCTAATCACATACTTTAGGGCTTTAGATAAGACAAAGATGGAAAAATCAGACACAACTCATTGATTCTCCTCCATGACAAGTTGGTTACAACTCATGTGTGTCAGACACTGACTTTTCCAAGTTACTGAGCTTCATTCAATAATTTCTTAGGAGGCAATATCCGTGGTGGTGAGGACCAGGGATTTTCCAGTCACACATGCTGGAAAGAGTCAAATGCTGGCTCTCCCACTTACCAGCTATGACCTCACTGATCTTTTATGTACCTAGTTTTAACCTATAAAACTAGGGTAACATAATATCAATTTTAAAGGTTGTTGTAAGTATTTAATGAGACTTTACAGAGTGGTAGGTACTGAACAAACAGTAATTCTTTTTTCTTTTTCTTTTGGTACTGAGGATTGAACCACCAGGGACTTTAATACCGAGCTATATCTCCAGCCCTTTTTATTTTATTTTGATTGTTTTTGAGACAGGGTCTCACTAAATTGCTTAGTGCTTCACTAAGTTGCTGAGGCTGGCCTAAAACTTGCAATCCTCTTGCCTCAGCCTCCTGAGTCGCTGGGATTACAGATGTGCACTACCATGCCCAGCAAACAGTACTTTATTAGTATTATTAGGTATTCTTGTTATGATCGTTATTGTTGTTTACCTTACTGAATAAAAACTTATCTTGAAAAAGCTAATCAGAATACCCACTCTAAGTGTATACAAATAATTAAAGTTTGTTTTTTTTTTTTTAAACTTCATTTCTTCGACAGTAGAGGAGGGTTCATTCTCTTTTAGGTTTGTTTGTAAATGGCATTTTAGGATTCACCTTCACACTTCACTTTTGAATACTTTCAGACTCAGCACGTACCTGTACAGATGATGCACTTGCACGAGAAGCTGAACATTGGATACATAGCGGACCTGAAGGCTCAGATTCTGGAACTCCCATATGATGGGGATGTCAGCATGTTCCTGTTGCTTCCAGATGAAGTTGCCAATGAGTCCACTGGCCTAGAGTTGGTGAGGCAGTACAGCATCAACCATGCTGAAACTTCTGAGGCTGAACCTACATAGTGTGAGATAAAAAGTAGAAAATCTACACATAAAAATGATTTGCAGTTTCTCCCAGAAATATGTGAATCAATTGATAGTCCACGTGGCATGTCTCAAAATTTCACTCAGAGCCTTCATCATATGTTATACATGTTACTTTCTTGAAGAATTTTGACCAATCTCTTAAATTTTTACATTCCCCACAAGGTGGGAAGTCACAGATTTTAACATTAGACTTACTCAGCGGGTCTTTTTGTTTGTTTTGTTCTGTTTTGCAGCTGGAAAGTGAAATAACTTATGACACACTCAACAAGTGGACCAGCAAAGACACAATGGCTGAAGATGATGTGGAGGTCTTCATTCCTCAGTTCAAACTGGAAGAGCGCTACAAGCTCAAGTCCATTCTGAGAAGCATGGGCATGGAGGATGCCTTCAACAAGGGCCAGGCCAATTTCTCAGGAATGTCCGAGGGGAATGACCTGTACCTTTCTGAGGTGTTCCATCAAGCCACCGTGGATGTCAATGAGGAGGGCACTGAAGCAGCAGCTGGCACTGGGGCCATTATGACGGGGAGGACTGGTCACGGTGGCCCACAGTTTGTGGCAGATCATCCTTTCCTTTTCTTTATCATGCACAAAATAACCAAGAGCATCCTGTTTTTTGGCAGATTTTCCTTACCTTCTAATTGAAAAATTCTGTTTCCGCACAGGATTTTGTAGCCTGAGCTATCAGCTTCAGAATTGCTATGTCAAATGCCAAAAATTTAGAGACTTTTTCTTAATATTTCTGTTCTTCTGAGCAACTTCTGCTGCACACTGAATACAAACTCAGAGATAATTACACAACTGTCAATCATAACATGACAACTCTATTCATCATTTGATCTCCTAAAATGAGATGATATACATTTAGTTCTTCCCTGTGGTTAGTTTATATCATAGCAGTAGCTTTTTCTGTTATTTATTATTTTATATAATAGTGTTTTTTTAATTATTATTCAGTCTATTTAATATAACTGATAAAGTTACAGAAGCAAGGGGTCAGTCTATCTAAAGAAATGCATTCACTTATTTTTATAATGAAGGATAAGTTTGTGTCCCTACCATGCTCTTCCATAAAAATATCTGGGAGAAATCATTGAACAAAAGGCAGATGGTGGCTGGGGTTGTGGCTCAGTGGTAGAGTGCTTGCCTTGCACATGTGAGGCACTGGGTTTGATCCTCAGCATCACATAAAAATAAATAAAGATATTGTGCCGATGTGTACCTAAAAAGTATTTTTTAAAAAAGGCAGATGTTTGTTATGCACATTTCTAGCATTATGTATCACATATGTGTGTGCAGCTCATGTAAAATTACAAACATGCAATAAATCAACATGTTTATGCTCAATTATTCATTTGTTGTCCTTCCAATAGGTCTGCAGATCATAAGACCTTGCATACCTTGCATGTCACTCAGCATTCCATTACTGTGACAGATACTTGTTGGTTACAACTCAGTAATCAACTTTAAAAGGGAAAGGTTTATTTGAGCTCACACTTTCAGAGGCTCTGGTTCATGGCTAGTGGCCATGTTGCTTTTGGCCTGTGGTAAGGCAGTGCCTTAGGGCAGGGAGCATGTGGTGAAGTAAAGGTGCTCAGTTCAAGCCAGGGCATGTAGCTCAATGGTAGCGCACCTGCCTAGTACACACAAGGCCCTGGGTTCCATCCTCAGCACCACAAAACAAAAATGTTGCATAGTCAGGGTGCCAAAGAAAAAGGAGAAAACAGCATCCCATAATACCCTTTGAGCACATCCCCTCAATCACCTAAAACCTCCCACTAGACTCCATCTTTTAAAGGCTTCCACTGCCGAGGTGGTTTTCAGTAGCACTAAGCTGAGCACCAAGCCTTTAACCACATGGGCCTTTGGGGAACATTCCAGATCTAAACTATAGCACCTCGATGCCCAGGAGTTGAGCATCATGACTCCTTTGCAGGAACCCTGAAGGTACAGGCAGGATAAAAGAGCTGAGGGCATAACCACCCATCTTGCAGAGAGACCCAGCGTTGAGGGTGAGGGAGATGGGATCCTGTGAAACATGCTTTAGAGCTTCTCACAGCAGCAAAAAGCAGAGCAAATGAGACGAACAGTCTGGGTGAAAGTCCTTTGGTGGCACCAGTGTCTAATCTCAGTGACACTAGGGACAATCACCAGGTCCAATGCTCCAGACACAGAATCAAGGTCACAGTCATTGAGCTGAGAGTTGAGAGCAGAGGAGATGGACTGGGTGTAAGAGCAGGAGGGAGACAAAAGGGACTCCTTCTGAGGGCGATTCTCTGGAGCAGCACTGAATGCTGCTGAGGTCAAGGGCAGAGCAGGACATAATTCAAGACTTAAGAACTAAGCAAATCACAGGTTTGGGGGCATCTGACTGGCAGCAAAGCCTGGCTGCAGAAGTGGGCTGGATCCTGGAAGTGTATTCCAGGCTCCACTCCCTGTGATGTTGACCCTTAGGAAGGAGACTTGGGACTTTGACAATCTGCATCCAAATCCCAGTTCTAACCTTCGAGGACTCTAACTGTGGGTCAAGTATGTTTTTTTTTTTTTTTTTATTTCACTTTGTTTTTCTTTCATTGCAATGTTTTTCATTTGGTTGCTATGAACTCATAATTAAATAAGTGCATACGTATTATGCAATTAAAATAGATATGACATGTAGTGTTTAATAAATGTTAAATGCATATTTAATAAATAATGATCATGATAATTGTTGCTTTTATAAGTATGTGTACCTTGTCAGATAAATCCATTGAATTCCAGAAAGCTGTTCAATAAATTGTTTTTTTGGTCCTGGGATTCAACCCAAGGGTCCCACTAATTTGCTTAGGGCTTTGCTAAGTTGCTGAGGCTGGCTTTGAACATGCTATCCTCCTGCCTCAGCCTCCCAAGTTGCTCAATTAATTTTTAAAACTTGACTTGTACATTCTTAAAAATTTAGGGGATATATATATATATATATATATATATATATATATATAGATATAGATATAGATATATATATATATATATATCTGGAGTGTGAACTCAGGGATGCTCTATAACTGAGCTACATCCCCAATTATTATTATTATTATTATTATTATTATTTATTTTGAGACAAGGTCTTACTAAGGCTGGCCTTTAACTTGTGATCCTCCTGCCTCAGCTTCCTAAGACATTGGAATTACACCAGTTTGTTACTGTATCTGGCTTCTCCTATATACTTTTTGTATCCATTTTTCTATGTATTTATTTTAATAATTCATTCAGCAAAATGGTAGGTACTTGCTTCCCGAATAGTTTTGGTGAGTGTTAAAAGATCTTTCACTACTACTACTGAGGACAGAATCCAAGCACTGGATTCGAGGTTCAAAGCACTCCAGCACTTTGGGGATATGATGTCATAATCTTTTGGCTCTCGAGGTATTGATGGGAAAGTTTATGTCAAGGTAGTTCTTGCACCTTGTACTTCTTATAATGCCCTTTATGGTTCTTGTTTTCCTTTCTATATTTTTAGTATTTTGTTGCATTAAGATTTATCGTTTTTAACTGAAGTAGTATTGCTTTGCTTTTTAAGTTGTCCTGTTCATCTCACCATCGGATTTTGCATCTGTAGACCTGACTCTTGCTCCAGTACTCAGAAGCCTTCAGCCAGGGCTATGGACTCAATGCTTGCACTCCCAATGCTCAAAATTCACATATTGAAACTCTAATCCCCCTAACATGATGATGTGTGAAGAAAGGGGCCTTTGGCAGGTGATTAGAGTTAGGCTAGGGCATTAGGGTGAAGTCCTGTGATGCCACTGATGCCCTCACTCGGAGATGAATGGATCAGAGCCTTTTCCCTGCCCTGTGAGGATATACAAGAAAGGCAGCCACCTGCAGCCAGGGGGAGGGCCTCCGCCAGCATCAGCAATGCTGACATTGAGGCTTCCAGCCTTTGCAGCTAAATAAATAAGAATAAATTTATTTGGCAAGAAGACTGCTGGAGTTCCTTATGTGACACGGATGTATGGATATGGATTCTACCTGATCAGTCAAGAAACTGTTCCCATCTTCTTAAAGTCACAGACTGAGTGTGGAAGGGGACAGACAGGCAGGACACTGAAGATAGCAGGAAACAGTTTTATTTGGCTGCAGCCAGGTTCAGAGGGTCTAGCTTTCATGGTAATCAATCAATCCCCCGGAGCCTTGAGTTCAGGCAGTTTCAGAAGTTCATACCCAGCATGTAAGCGGAGGGACTCGGAAGTTCACAGTCTGCAGAAGTTCACACAAAAAGCAGTTTGTTTCTTTTATTCCTCTGGGCAAGTTTTAACCCTTCAAGGACAGCACCTGAGAAGGGGGGAGCTTCTTCTCCCCTTTCTTCCCTCCCCTGCCAGCTGTTACCAGGGGACCCAGTTAGTAACCTCTGCTCTTATCTTTGAAATGTAAACATCTCTGTGAGGCTTGGGCAGAGGCCAGAGGCTAGTTAAGAGAATCTGTGTTTCTTATCACACCCTGCATCTGCAGATGCTTCCCTTGAAAACCTTTACAAATTATAAAGTATATATGTATATTATACACACACACACACACACACACACACACACTAGATAGTTCATAGATGTTTATGAAAAAAATAGTAAAGCGGTGTTCGGCACCTGGAGTGCTTATCTCTTTCAGGTCTGTGGCCAAATTTATTGATTGTAAGAAAGACCAACGGGAAATAAGAAGTTTAACTTTATTGAACTCTTTTGTGTTTTGTATTGAGACTCTTTTGCTGACAGTCCTAAGATCAGTTATGGTGAAGATTTTTGGAGAAGCTTAATTAAGATTTTCTGTGGAGGAGAGGGTGCCACTACATAAGTTTTACTCGTTTTCCCCCAAACCTTTTCTAGATTTGATTAAACCCCTATTTATAGAAATACTGCTTGTTAGAGTCTGTAAACAAGTCAAGATGGCAGCCTGGCATTTTGCGAGAGGGAGTGGTTTGTGAAGTCAGAGAGCCATTTAGTGTGGAGATTCCTTATTGGTTGACTGCTGTATCTAGTTTATGTTAATTAGATAAGCTGTGTGGAATGTATATATACCCCTCCTGTCCTACAATAAACGCTCCCACTCCTGCTGTATCAATCTACACAAGTTGCTCGTCACCCCCGGGTTATTTTGCTGCAGCCGGACTGCAGCAATTGCTTATATCAAGAAGATCATGCATGTGTGAGAACATGATCCCATGGGAGAACAGATGCTTGCTGGTTAAGCTGCCCAGCCGTATTCAGTTATAGCAACCTGCACAGACCAAGACAGCCGTCAACAACTCCACCGCCACTGCCCACTCTGGCTGTCCTCTTCTCCCATAGAATGACTTGATGCACCTGGAACTCTTTTCTCTTTCTAAAGTTTTTTGAATACCGTATAAATCCACACTGTCCAATGCATCGATACCATAAAAACGTTAGACCCAATCTCTCCTTCCCCCCTATTTCTCATCCACTTAGTTCTCTCTCTCTCCCTACCAGCAACACACTGCAATGCCACCAATACAACTGAACAGAGGATCTGATCACCTCTTTCTCTTTTCCCGCCCCCTAACAGACAACGAGATAACGTGTGAACACGACACAGGCAGTATTTCCATAAATAGGGATATTTATAGTCAAGAGTGGGGAAACAATCTAGAATGGGTTTGGGGAAAATGCGAGTAAAACTTAGTCCGTGACTTTAAGGAGAGGAACAGTTTCTTGGCTGATTAGGCAGAATCCACAGTGATGCCTTGAGTGTCAGTCACCCCAGGACTCCAGAAGTCTCCTGGCTGAGCAGCCAGGGAGCTCAGGCCACTCTTCTGAGCTGCTGTGGTCAAAGCAAACCACCCTTCCATCTGGAGCCTCCACAGGACACTTCCAGCTAAGAATAGCCCTGGGGCCACCCATGCATGCTCATATCTGCCCGCCCTGAGCCAAGCAGACATCCTGAATTTCCTACCACAGGTTTCATGCCCCTGAGTAACACTCCACCGTGGGCTCCACGCCAACTTTCAAATAGCAAACTTGGAGCCCTTTACCGGAAGGTGTGCGTGCTCCTGTGAAGAGAAAAAAGGAAAGAGCATCTCAAACAGAGAGCGTGCTCCTCTGGATCTCTCCTCCTGTTCCTGTCCTCTACTGCTTCTCCTCACAATTCCTCCTGCACATGCGCATGAAACAACGGGCCTGTTGTTTTTCCCTTGTAATAAACACACGCCATCACTGCCCACAACACTGATACAACCCCCCTGTTGCTACTGGTGGGGGGCACTGACACCCCACTCACTGGTGTCACCCTTGGGTTCCACACCAACCCCTCAAATACAGAGAAATTTCCCAAGTGCCCACCACATACTGTTCTAAGAACAACTTTAACACATTGACCAGGAAACAATTTGTGAATGAGAGTTTCTCTTTCATTACTCATAGCAATTCCAGTAATCTGAAGGCTTCTGTTTTCATTTTTATTTTCTAAGTCTACCAGGGGAAACCATGTTAACTGTCCTTATTTGGCAGGCGTCGCAGGGGATTAAGCAAGAAATTCTGTCAGGACTCAGGCCTCTACATGCAGACCACATGGAAAATGTGGGTAATTAAATAATGCAGGCAAGGCCTCAACTGTCTCTTTGTCCTTTTATTTAAACTTCCTGCTAAGATAAGCCCAAAAGAAAGAGCGAATCAAAGGGTGGGGTTCCAAAGAAGGAGGTGCAACAATTTTTTTAAAAAAAATTTCTTCAGTTAAAAGTTCCCTAATTCTTCAGCCACAATCTCTTACTAAAGGAACAACTTGCCAATTCTGCTCTGGCAGAAGAAAATAAGGTACTGTAAATATTTCTGTGATTAAAAATGTTTATATGTGTTTTTCTTCTTTGTCATAGAGCTTAGATAACTAAGGATATAGACTATCTTGCCCCCCCCTTTAAAAAAATCCAGAAATAATTAATTAGGCTCCATCCCCTAAGATTTTTTTCTGTACAAGTCAAAGAGTCTTAAACTTGGGCTGGTTCAGTTTCTCTTCCTGTTAGTCCTCCTTTATCACCCAATCTCTCTTACCTTTAAAATCTTAAAGGCAATAAGCTGCATTGGTTATTAAAAAAAAAAAAAAAAAAAAACATTGGGGAGTTGGGGGCTGCAGTTTTGGCTCTGTGTTAGTTAACTGTGCATCCTCAGCCAGCTCATTAGCCTCTTTGGTCATGAGTTTCTTAGTGAATAAATGGAAATATGTTAGGAACTTTAAGGTTCTTTCTAACTCTGATATGTTAGAAGTCTGTCTATCTATGATGAGACATTTTTATGAATGACACTATTTTCTTACTGTCTTATTTTTCTTCAATGTGTGTGTGTGTGTGTGTGCGCGCGCGCACGTGCGTGTGCACCGAATGCATGCAGTCAATTTATAGCTCCTGAAGACTATAAAAGAACTATTCATTTTGAAAATTATTTCTGGTAAAATCTAATCACGAAATCATGCACCTTTCAGAAAGTGCTTTTGACTGTTGAATTAGATGTTTGGCTTATTATTTCCTAAATTTCTTAAAAGAAGCAGGGGTAGTTGTCCTTGTCTGTTCCGGATTAGCCTTGATACATGATTGAGGTTATTGGTAAGGATAAAGATAACTGGAGATAAACTTTTCATAAGTAGTTGGCTCTTTCTTTAGAGAGCCTTATTGTTGTCAGGAATTTGTTGGAGGTGAATGACTAGAAAAAACATAAATTGTAGGTAGAATGATAAAAATCCCAGGCCCTAAAATATTACTTTCTCTCCCCTTCATGGTGAACGTTGTTGTTTGGCCACAAAGCCAAATGTTTTCCATGTTAATGTAATTCATGAATTTTAAAAAGATAAAGCTTACTATCTTGGCAGTAGCCAAAACCTCATTTGAATGAATATACTCTTAAAGGAAGTAGAGAAGTTATTTCTAAGATGGCATTTTGTTTGTCAAGAAAAAGTAAGGCAAGTTTCCAATATTTTAGGAGGGTGTAGAAATACAACAAATCTAGAGGGTGTGTATGTGTGTGAGTTTCTTTTAGAATCATATTCTTTGGCTTGTGATCATCAGGAGCCTTGGGAATAGCTGGAAGCCACACCTAGGGCGTGATCCAGAGGCTGGGAAGCTGTTTGGTTAAGTGAAAGCGTCTCTGGGAGGGATCAACAGTGTCATTGTTAACTCCAGGTCACAAAACCAAAACTCTAATAAACCTCACCCTTGATTCCATTACTTGACCATACAGAAGGCTGGCAAGTTCTTGTTCTAGTTTCTCAGAGAGCCAGGAAACTGTCATGGCAGGACCAAATTCCACACATCACTGATGCAAGTGGGCATTCCTAGACCTAGGAATCTGAGTTATTTTTAGAGAAATTATTTGTTCATAAATTGGCAGTAGATTGAACTTTGCTATGTCTTTGATAGAGATTGCTTTAAATTTTTAATTTTAATTTAATCTTAAAATATCAGGGTTATTGAGGTGAAATTTTGTAGTTGAATGTAATACCAAAAAGTTAAGAAAAATAGGAGTCCCTTGTTCAAGGACAGTAGTGAGAAGAAAAGCAAGCTAGTCTTACTTTCTCACTTCTCTAAGCATTTTTCACTTAATTGTGCCTGATTTCCAGTTTCAGTAAATAAAATCATGGCTAAAGCCCAAACACTGAACATTGCATTTATTTTTTTATCTCTTTTTTTTTTATTAGTTGTTCAAAACATTACAAAGCTCTGAACATTGCATTTATAAGTACCTGTTTTGTGCAAGGTCCTGGACAAGGTGCTGTTGGATGTACAAGGCTGTATATGAAGAAGATTTTATTCCCATGGTAGTTGGAAAGATTAGTTATAAATACACCAATGGTGCTGCTATAAATGTCAATTAATCAAGTGGAAGAAACTATGCTCTGAGACTTAGCTGTGAAGTGATCAGAATCAGTTAATAATGATGCATGTTAGCACCAAAATTCAAGGCAAGTCTCTGGACTTCATTGTTTTAATATATAAAATAATAATCTGGATTAGAATTTCACTAAAATTCATTCAGCTCTAGTGAATATAGGTATACACATACATATATGGAAGAATATACTTACAAAGGTTAAATAAATGAGAAGGATTTAACATTAGAATGTTCTCTATCTTTTGCTTTATTTTTCTTAGGGCTTCTCAATGGACTCTCTAGCAACATCCATCAACCAGTTTGCCCTGGAATTTAGCAAAAAGCTAGCTGAATCTGCTGAGGGTAAAAATATCTTCTTCTCTCCCTGGGGCATCTCAACCTCATTGGCCATGGTGTATTCGGGCACCAGAGGTTCCACTGAAGCCCAGATGGCCCAGGTGAGTGGGAAAGGTCAATGGTCCCCCTAATGCCCTTAAATTACATGCTTTCTTTGTATTTTCACTTTTCTTCTGAAAACCCAATAACCCTCATTTTATAACACTATTGTCCAAATTAAGAGATACACTTAAAAAAAAATCTTAGAACACAAAATGAAGCCCAGTGAAGGAAATCATTTTGAAAATTATTGCTAGAAAAACCATTAAAAAAAATCTGTATCCTTTGGCAAAATGAAATGGAGAAATGATGAGGTTATCAATTTTAGTTCAACACAAAACCAATTTCATTTTGATGACTAAAAGGATTTAAGAAATGAGTCAAACTTTAGATAATAGAACTATTCAGCATGCGTTTACTCTCAGAAGAGTTTTTTACACACACAAACACACACACACACACGAAGAATCATTCTGTTCCTCATGCCTTGTTGGCTGTTTCTTTAATTACTGGTTGTCTAAATGAATTTAAAGAGCCCAACAACAACATTAAAGTAAGAAAACAATATTAATGTACAAAAAAAAGATTGTTTTACTGTAAGCATTTGTAGAGCATATACATGTATATATATACATATGTCCAGCCATAGATAGCAAAATACCTGTTCATGTGTGTATACAATCACATATATATGAATAAACACATAAATAAATATGAATATGTCATTATAAATTGTCAATAAATAAGTGTATTTTGTTACTAAAAATTAAAAAAAATAAGTTCAGCCTTAAATATTACAATAATCAAAAGGACAAATGATAGAATTCTTCTCAAAATGGTTTTCTCTGTGCCTACTGTGGAAGTGGGTACAGCCAGTCGTGTGTTCTGTGTACCTGGCCTAGGATCCCCCTGACTCTTGTAGCTCACAAGACATTGTGTGGTTTGAAAACAACCACAACGACAGGAGCACCTTGGCTCACCTCTAGGTAATGACTGGTTTCCTGGTTAGAAAGGATTAAGTGACAGGCTTATTCTCAAGTGAATTCCAACTTGGGGACATTTCATGTAAGTACATCTCTGTGTGCTACTTGTCCTTGCTTTAGATATTAATAGCCTCATTTGCAAATGAGCCTGATTAATTGGCCCTGCACATTTTTTTCTAAGGTAGTTGTTCCTTGTTCTGTTACTATGTGTCAGTGTGATCCTCCAAAAGATACTCTTTATTTCTTACTGTGAGCTGGGCCCAGGATGTGGGCAATGGAATTATCTTTTTTGCCTTCTGTTCTCTATTGTATAATTTGGGGGAAACAGGGATGGCCATATCCTTCCTGTTAACTTTCAAAGGAAATGTTGGGGTGAATGCAAAGTTTATGTCTCTGTATCTTAAGATGTGTTAGACAATGAGAAATGAAACATTTATCTAGAAAAAATAACTAAAATCCCTGAATTTTCAAGATGATTTTGGCAATGATGGCTTTTGCTTACATTATTGAAGTAGTGGTCTCAATTTAACACCTAGCCTGCTTTCTTTTTCTATTTTTGTATTTTAGTTGTCTATCCATTATACGTGTTGACGATCTATTGAACGTATTATACATTAGATATTAGACATATTGTGATAATTTTATACATGTCAACAATGTGTGATGGGCAAATCAGCATAATTAGTACTTTCCTCTCCTTAAGCATTTATTGTTTCTTTCTGTTAGAAAGCTTGGAACTACTGTCTTCTAGTTATTTTTAAAATGTGTAATAAATTTCTGTGAACCAGCATCCCTGGACTATGCTTCAAAACACTAAAATTTCTACTTCCATTCTAACCAGGTGTTGGCAGTTATGCAACCTCCCCACTCTCCCACCCCCATCTAAGCCTCTAGTCACCCTCGTTCTGCTAAGGAGAGAGCAGAAACCAACTCCATCTCAGTTTCTCCTGCTGACCCTCACAATTTGTATCACTTGTGACAACACCAGGTGCATGGGGTTTTCCCCTACACACCAAGCAGTCAGTGTGGCAGTGAAGGCCAGCTGCACGTGGTCTCATCTAATTCAATTCCTACATTGTATCTGGAGACAGTCTCCGATCCCACAGGTTGAAGGCTTAGTCCCCAAGACTGCCTCCTCCACCCCAATTCAGATGGCAGTTCTGGCTGCTGCCCTACACTTTTGACCATCCGGCTATGAATCTGCATTCCCACACCCCCTCCTTGGGGTTCTCTTAATTTGCCAGAGTGGCTTTCAGAACTCAAAGAAACACGTCTATTGGTTTATCGTAAAGGATATTACAAAGGGTACAGGGCAAGATGTGGCGCCAGGGCACAAGGCTTCCACACCTCGCCCAGTGCCCCACCCTCCAGGAACCTCCTCGTGGTCAGCTGTCAGAAGTCTCCCACCCCTGTCCTGTCTTTGGGTTTGTAGTGGAAACTTCACCGTGCAGGCATGGCCGCGGTGTGGACAGCTTGTAGAAATGCTATTGGACAAGGAGTGTGATCCGCTGCTCTTGGACGGAGGGGAGCCCAGCCAGGCTGGCTGCTGAGATTCCTTCTGTAGGGACAGGGGACCCCTTTGATTGGGGTCAGGATCTGCTAGGCAAGGTAGACCAGAGAATTTCTTTATGGACAGCTCAAAGACAGAGAGGTGAAGGGAGGTGAGAGTGTGTTTTTGGTTTCTGTGATTCATCTGCAGGAAGAGGAGTTCTGGTTTCTGTGGCCTGCCTGGGGGAGAAAAGGCAGCGGGTGAAAGGAGGGCAGCAGAAGGTCAATGGGAGAGAACTTCTCTTTCTGAGGCAGCTTCTGAAGCCAAAAGTGCCCCAGCAGTATTTTAGTCACTTGGAAATTACATGGACTGTGGCAGCAGTGAGCCGGGAACGGTGGACAAAAGCAGAATGAATCTATTGTAGTATCACATCTAATCTCCCTTCTCTGACACTGACCTTGTTAGCTAACTTGCTCATATGAGTGCCTCACTTATTTCACTTACAATGTTCCACATCACTGTCTGTGTTGTTGCTATGAAGTTTTGCTTTCTTTTATGGCTGAATAATATTCCACTGTGTATATAGAATATTTCATGTGCACAATGTAATATTTCCCATTCAGGTGTTGGTGGGAACCTTTTCAGACTCCATACCTTGACACCTAGTCTTATATTCGAAACAACCATAGATACAAGTGACATATGGAAAAGGACAGAATTTCTTTTTCTTTTCTTTTCTTTTTTTTTTTTTGGAAGGGGTGGGTACTGGGGATTAAACTCAGAGGCGCTTTACCACTGAGCCACATCCCCAGCCCTTTTTATTTTTTATTTTGAGACAGGATCTCATCAAGTGGCTTAGTGCCTCACTAAGTTGCTGAGGCTACCCTGGAACTTGCAATCCTCCTTCCTCAGCCTCCCAAGCCACTGGAATTACAGGTGTGCACCATAGTGCCCAGCTTAAAATGAGATGATTTTACCTCAGGCTAATCCCATCATCATCCCAAATTTCCTATAAAAACATTAAAATTGAAAGACTAGCAACATAAATTAGATTTTAACAATTTAGTTAAAAGCAGCCCTTTACTTATTATATTAGTTTAATTAACACATTATTAAAGTTAAATGAAGGCCTCCTTCTTCAACCATTTATATGTTCTGCATTTATGAGAATGACAGACTCATATTTACAATGTTTATTCCATATGATTATTCATATGCAAATTGTACTCACTTGTCTTTTTATTGGTATTACAGGTACTCCAATTTAACAGACACCAGGACAGCAAATCTTGTCCTGAAAGTGAAAAAAAGAGGAAAATGGTATTTATTATATTTTACTATCCATTTAACAGTTGGGTGGAAAGAACTTTTAGAACATGTATTTTAGTAGTTGATTTAAGCAACCTTTCATGGGTAACCTTTCTTAGACACTTGGTAAAATTATAGAAATGCTCTTCAGGAAAGAAAATATTGCACTTTTCAGAAGAGTCTCTTATCTCATCTATTTTTTTATTTCTCTTGAAAATTCTCTATATTTTGAACTTGCTCTTGCCTGCCTTTGCAAATGAATGTGCAGAAAGGAATAAATATGTTCCATAGACAATATAATGTTCGCTGTGATAACGTTGAAGAAGACATTTTGGTCTATGTTAGAATTAATTTCAGCTTTTGTTTGTAATACACCAAATCATTTTAATTAGCTATAGGTTGAACACATATATGTAGCTCTGGTTCAACATTTTTTAAACTCCTTTTCTTTTAAAGGAATTCACATCCAGCAAGGTTGAAGGAATATGCTCTGACTTCCAGGCACTTTCTGCAGAAATCCTCAAATCCAGCCATTCCTATATACTTAAAACAGCCAACAGAATATATGGGCATAAGTCATATCCATTTAACAATGTAAGTGCAAACGGCTTATTTTAAGTTAACGGGAAAGAAAGAGCCATGTGAACCCAGTTAGCCCATTAATTCCAAAGAGGCATCCAGGAGTAAAAAGTTCCACATTTCTCTAGAGATCCCAGGGACAATTTTAATGTGGTCAATACTTTCTGGTAAACCATTATCTAGACCAAGCACTTAGCATCTAGTTGTAAAGGAAACCAATAATAGGTCTCAAACCAGGTGCTTGATCAGGGTTTTATAAGCTGAAAAAAGGGTGTAGCCCAAGAAGTGAGAGTAGGGAGTAATTTTCACATCAGGACTTTAGAGAGACGCTGGGGATATGGAACATGCAACAATGCCAACTTACCCCTGCGCTAATGATTGAATCTTCATCAGTTCACTGCCTTGTCCTGTGAACTCAGAGGGGGGCAGGCAGTCATGTGCCTCTCTTGGTCTGTCCCTCACTTCATTGGCACAGATCAGAAAGGAACAGGAGGACCCAGGCATTGAACCCAAAGGGCAAGGAAGTTAGAGAGGGCAGCAATCAGGTAAAATAAATGCTATTTTGTGGTTTCCAGCAGTGCTATCCCTGTCCATATCAGGGGAATTCTGGGGAGTTCAGGACTTTGTATTTGTTATTACAAAGGGCACAAAACCAGCCAAATAGGGTCTTAAAGACAGTTTCACTAATGGTAGGCTTATGAGCTCCTGTTTGATTCTGAAGTAGGTGAGATGACTGAGCTCAGTGGGCACTTGGGAAACAAGGGGACATGGACATACAAACATCTTTTTACGTGTCCACAGCTCTGAGTTAAGACAGGGAGTGGTGCTTCCTGAAGAGTCAAGTTTTCTTTTTGCTAGATTAAAAATTCTGCAAAACTTGGCCTTCATAATCTCAAACAATTTCCCATAAACAGAATTAACTTGCTATTTTTATTCCTTCAAGCCCTCTATGAAGGTATACCACAACTATATA